CTGTATTTCATGACAAAATGTGTGTAAATTGTCTGCTATTTTAACATACATACAGAACAGCAAAACATACGAAACAGAAATGGAATACGATCTGTTTCAGTAGACGTCCTGTTTTCTCCAACTGTGCGTTAATCGTAAGTTATTTTGTTTTTTGTTGTTGTTTTGGTTAGACGTTACCGTCAAATATCAGCACTCTAAAACTGCATGACAGTTGCGCTGTTCAAAACGGAAACGGAAATGTAGTCAAATTACATAAATACAGACGCTGACGTTTTGTTTGCTTCCGAAAATGTCACTAGGACACTATCATACTCCAATTTTGTTTTCTTTTCCACAGCAAGACGTCTATCGCATCAGAAATATGGTTGCATTTTTATATTTCATTCTACTTTGTCGTGTATGATTGAGAACCTAGTGTTTAATATAATGGCAGTTTTTATGGTCCCGACCTAAGCCTGGGTCCATTTTACAGGGCCATATAACCGGCGACACGAATGTCATTTTGAGCCGGAGACTATCATGACAGAGCCACCAAATCACCATAGGACATTGCCGGACATGATTTTGGTCATTTTGACTTGTTACTGGCTCTAGATAATCCGTACGTGAAATGCAGAATCTGGGAGTACATTATAACCTCATTGTTCGGGTATGACTGCACGGTAAATGTGCCCCACATTTATTGGTCATTCTGGTAGTTATTCATGAATGGCCACACCAAGTAATTTTTATGGATGACATCCTTTGCAGTCAAGACCCTATATCTAATGCGAGAGCGCGGGAAAAAAAGGAAGGCCGAAAAAAGCAAGATGCCTAGATTTGAAATATACTAAGGGACGACAAATGTTAGGACACAAATTGAATGAGAGAGCAAAGTGTAACAACCAACAAGTCTTTTATTCGTCACGAAAACAGCAACAAATCAGTGGAACAGCAGTTGTCGTCCTGTCCTGTTTCTTTGCTTTAATCACATTTTCTCTTGCCCCACTGTCGTGACTCCTTGGCCATAGTTACAAGAAGCAGAATTTCTTGATTTTTTTTTTCTGGGAATAGGCCAATGTCAATGCGCGCGCGGACGTCATCCACTTGGTGTGGCCTATTCTAAACATTTAAGTTTATATTTTTTAGACTTTTATAAAAAGTACCGAAACCTATGATTGGCCTCAATTGTTTTAGTAGATTTAGTAGTTAGCATTTGAAATTTTATTCTATACTTTCTTTGAGTGTGTGTGTGTGTGTGTGTGTGTGTGTCAGTGTGTGTGTGCTATGTTCCATAGTCGTTACCATACGATGTACCACGTACAACTGTCGTGCAATAAAGTTCTTCTATCTTATTATAACAGTGTGTGTGTGTGTGGGGGGGGGGGTTATAGGCACTACCAACTGACCCGACCGATGGGTCCAGACCTTTTAGCCGAGTGGTTTGAGCGTCGGATTTGAAGCTGGAGGTCGTGGGTTCGAACCCCGGCCTAACCCGAGAACCAGTTCAGACTCTGACGCTCTAACCACTCGGCTAAGTGGTCTACACCCCCACTGTTACATTATGCCTGTATCGAAGATCCAAACTTCCACCGAGCCGTCAGAAGAACTGTCCCGCCGCGGCTGCAGTTCCAGGCGCGCCGCTAGGCTGTCACATCAGTCATCGGTCGGCCCCGGATCTACCACTCTAACCGACCTACCGTTAAAAAGATAGCAGGCATTTACTCAACCTTCCGGCCTAAAACTGGCCAGATTGCTACCTGTCAAGATAGTGCCGTGTAATATAGAACATGAGCAGCCTAGGTATGAGCTAGTACCGCTTCTACCGTCCGACGTTTTTTATTCACATATATTTACCGAGTATCGATATATATCAGGCAAAAACATAATTGCTCAAATAACGCCTTCTACCCGATGACATAAATATGAAACAAAAGTAAACAAAATACATACATACAAAAGTACAAAGTGGGTAAGAGAAAAATGAATATAAACAAGACAAGTTGGTGAAATTAAGAGAATCCACCTGTACAGTGGATATATGTTTGAACTATGTGGAAGATATTGCAGTTCTTTTACATCTAACAGTGTTAGTTTGTTCAGTTGTCCTTCCGAGACCTGACCAAGGACCAAGAACACACACATTCGTCGTACGACAAGTTTAAGACAGCAAATAGACGGCATCGTAATACAGTCGTGGATTTGTCGTATACAATTCAGTTGTCAGTTAAAATTTGTCGTTAGATCCTTGTCACTGTTCGGTTCTATACTTGCAAAGCCTGGCTGAAAATTCCTACCCTCCAAGCAAAGGTTTGGGCTTCGGCTTAGTTTCTGACGTGTTTCATGCATTTTTATCGGGCCTTCTTTTTTGTACTCGCATCGTTTTCGTTTGTTTTTTTCGCCAGCCAATGCCGTATTGGGTACTACTTTGGTGGTGTGTTAGATACGTCCCTGCCGATGACACTGTCTTGCCAATTTGATACTGTCTTGCAGCCACCAAAAGACCTAATTGGAGATTATGAAACTCCTACAACACAAATGCTCCAACGAATGAATGAACCTTATTGCTTGACATGGCACGATGTACATGCAACAATTAATACAATAATACTAGTGTATTCTAAAATCTCTACAGGAACAATTACATGAACGTATACGTAAATGGCTAACAGATACACCGTTACAAAATTTAGACTCAGTTGTCACAAATTGCGAATTGAATCAGGATGAGACATTCACGCAGTCCGTTAGAGCAAACTGAAATCTTCCAAATTTGTATTTTACATTAAGTAGAATACGAAGTTCATTTTGCCATTAGTATGATAGCGATAGAACCATTCTTTTCATTTGTGTGTCAAGCAAATTCCCCCACTTCAAATATTTGAATAGTACAGAGAAATTTATGTTCCTTATAGCCTTCGACAAACCAACTGTAAATAGTCATACAGCCTCCTCTATTTCCAGTATTACTAGCGAGAGAAAGTCAAATGTACAAGAGTATACTAGACGTTTATATATAGAACTTTATGTATATGGTTGTCAACATTTGACTTGTATTTAGCCCAGTGGGGCAAAAATGTACAATAAAAGTCTTCTTCTTCTCCATAGCCGCCCCGCGCAAGGTGTGTTCAGTCCGTCCAGCGCAGGTTTTTAGTACAGACATGAATGATGGGGAATCTCTTATCTCCAGTCCAGGTCTGCGTGAAGCTTTTAACGTATTTCCTGCAGGTCTGTCCGCGAAAGCACGCCGAATTTACCGGTCGTTTCGCCGCCGCTTCTGTAGTGGGGGGAGGGCTATCGACCGGGATCTCTCAGTCCCCCAGCTAAGAAATGTCTGCTTTCGGCCGCGAATATCTGATGGTTTCTATGGTTACGTCCTGTAGGGATCACCCCCTCCCCTCCCCCGCGGGGGTAGGTGGTTATGTAAGCCCGAATGGGGTGGGGGGTCAAGAGCAGTAAGAGTACGCCGCTTGGTTTTTAGATTTACACCCTAGAGGCGGTGCTGTGTGTAAAACAACGGCGCATATCTGGGCAGCAGTAATAGCTATCACTTTACAACACACATTGTTTAGCGATTGTACTTCTCTCTGTCAGGATTTAAGCGTGGAACGCCTGGCTACCAAACTACTGTTCTCTCTTCTCCAAGCAGAGTTAGACTTTGGCTTATTTTTTAGTGGCGTGCTGTGTTTTTCTTTTAATTTCTATCTGGCTCTTTTTTTGTACTGGTAATCTTTTGTTGAAATGGTAGCTTTCTGGCAAATGGATCCTGCCTGGCCAATTTGATACGGTCTTTGCAGTTGATACAGTGATCTAGGAAGAATTGAAGATGAGAAACATTTTGAGAGCATAGATTTTTAGTCTGATACAATCCATGCTTCATACACGTAATTAATACAGACAAATTCATATTTCTAATGAACTTACACAAACATTCGATTATGAAACATGTTTTACATTTTTACCATTACTAAGAAACGAGAAGAAGCCGATTTAACTAAGTTGTAGTTACTTGTATATGTATGTAACGTTATCTGTATTCTATTCTTTTGTTGTGACCTGTACTTAACCCAGCGGGTATTTTGTACAATAAAGATCTTCATTCATTCATGAACAAACCATGTATCATTAGCTCCATATGTCCGTACATCTACAACTGCCTCAAGAAGCGAGAAGAAGTTGAACCTGTAAATAGTAGATCACATTAGTATGTATAGTTTAAGTGAGATATTGCTGTATTCTTTTCCCTGTTAACACATGACCTGTACTTAGCTTGTAAGAGCATAAACGTACAATGAAGGTCTTTCATTGTTCATATTCCTGATGCGACTTGACAAACCTTCCATCGAAAAACATATCTGTTCCTTTATCTCTACTATAACTGAAAAGTGAGAAGTTGAACTTATGTAATGATAGCTAGTTTTATTTTGTATATATCTTTTCATCATGTTTTGTTTTGACCTGTACTTAGTCCAGTGTGGCAAAAATGTGCAATAATGGTCGTCATTCATTCAACAAAACTATTAGAATTATTATATAAACTGTTGTTCAGTTCTGCTGAATGTTCTCCCGGGGTAGAGCCGGTCCTGAGGTGTGACGTCTCGCCCGGCCATTTGTTCATTTTCCTGCCATGTGACCCTCCCCGCCCCCATGCCGCCAGGAGGGGCGCGCCAAAACTGCAACAAAAAGTGTTGCCAGCAAATGACAAAGGGTTTAAAAGGCTGCAATTACCGATCAGTCAAATGCCCAGTCAGTCCCGACCAATCAGAGCCCGTAACGCTGCCATTACGCGCTCATTTGCTAAGTTATCGGGAATAATTCTTTTGTCAACAAAGCTTTGCATGTGATTGCTTTGAAATTGGTTCGCTTTCAGTCCCAATTCCGTCTAACTTATAATATGTGCCCAGCCCAGGACACTCGTCAGTGATCAACTGTGCGGCGGTGACACCAGCTCGCGACAGCGTTCAGAACCCAGCACGTACCGCTCATCCCGCCCGAGTCTCACACGACCTAAAACCAAAGGTCCACCTCCTATCGTTTAGATCGGCAGGTAGCCTGCGGTATCATCATCAGATCTAAGCGGCCCGAGAGCGCCGTAACTCCCGCCCCGACAGCACGAGCGCCCGGCGGCGGCGGACAGGGACGATTTGGCACGCCGACAACAGGTCCAGGTCGACCGGAAGCGACTCTTAAGGTGCGCCCGCTTGTACTCCACCCGTCACGGACTTTTTCTCTCCCTCTCTGTGTGTCGGCCAAGAAAGTTATTTGAGAATATGGAGAGCTCGAGCTTTCCTAGCAAGTTTGGCATCGATTCAATCATGACGCAGCACCCAAGTTCGTCCTCAGACTCAGAGAACAGTAACGACAGTAGCGCGAACAGTCCCGAACACCAGCCGGACACCAACACGACCACGACTGGCAGTCCTGTCGCAAACGGCACGCCGGAGTCGGGAGGGAACGTTAACGGGGACCAGGACGAGAACGCCTCGGCGCCGGCGCCACCTGTCCCCGCCCAGCCTCCAGCCCCGACCCGCACCACCTCCACCACGTCGTTCTTCATCAAGGACATCCTCAGCGACAGCCACAACAATGTCCGGCGGGAGAAGAGGCCGTCTCCTACCGACGACGACAGAATGGACGGCCCGCTGCAGGACAAGTTCGACACCGACGACACCAGCACGTCCCTACACGACGCCAAAAGCGACATTGACGACAAATCCGAAGACATGAAAGACTCAAAAGGTGAGTTAACTTTCTCTCTTTTTTTTCAAAACATTCTCAACCACTTTCTCAAAGCGTACTCAACATGTTCTGTTTGTTTTTACCCACGTTCTAGTGTAACAATATAAGGCCTTACTTTATGTCAACGACCTTAAGTAAAAAAAAAAGAATGCCCAGAATATTTTTCCAGGCCTTAAAGTGAATGTTTTTTCCTCTGCACTGTTTGTAGTCAAAGAGCGAATCAATCTAACGCCGCTGTAGCGGTCAACGTTCTGTGAAATATTCCCCTCGGCCTGTGCGGCATGTTTCCCCCCATTGTCCCGGCCTACAGCGTGCTTACAAGCGAGGAATGCTGTCTGCTACACGCCCTTCTCTTGACCCGTTTCGCGTCCGAGAGAGAACCGACGCCCGCGATCCCTCCACCCCACTAGGGAACGACGGAGCGTAAAATGTTCGGTGACAAAAGCCTGGGCCGTCCGTCGACAGAGACCATTTCCTCCCGGAGACCGGTGTGTTTGTGTGGGATGTTGCCGCTTGGCTGCGCGGACAGATTACAGAGCAGCTTGTGTCGTGCGGCGAGCCGCCGAGCTGGTGTCTGTACCTGCCGGTCTGTTGTGGTTAAACTAGCCGGTATGACAGGTACATCTGTCCGCCTGTCTACGACACCGACACGCTAACGATACGGCAACACAACTCCGTATAACTTCAATTCTACTAATATTCCCACAAAAAAATCCCTAGCCAGTACTTAAAACAATGCAATGGTATACCTTTGAGACTGCCTTCATATAGTCACTTAAAACTTGTGTAGTAACCATCAGTATCATTTTACCCTGGTATGTAAAAAATACGACTCCTGGAAAATGCATAGTGTCGAAATGAAATTCTTTCAATTGTGCAACACAAGGGTTTGGTATCCACAAATAAACTTTCTCCTAATGATAAAAGATACAGAAAAAAACTCCACTTCAGACTTATTTTGACTCCTCTTCCAATCTACAATATCAAAACGGCCCAGTTTAGCTTGTTAGAGCTCGTTTCCCAGTAGTACAGATAGAAACATTCTCTCGTGGTAAAAAGCAGAACAACACGCAGGCATGTAAATCAAAATGTTGATGTTAAAGTATCACGGATGGACTAGTATTGTACAATATGCATGCACTTTCATAACGAAAAAACATAGTACCTGAGTGAGTTTTGCGCGTGCATGTCCAAATTTGTATCATCTTTAGATAACCAAACGCAACCTCCCAAGCGTACATCCGAAGCATTTGGAGAACTAATATAAGAAAGAAGATTGTTTGTTCAGATAACGTGCTCAACTATAGGAAATACGGATCCTTATTTCAAAATATGAACAACAGTAGCTTTATTTACTTAACTTGAAAACGTTTAGTGATTCCGAGAACGCTTCACACAACTGTGGCTAAGTTCTGTTCCTCTTGCCGTATCACTCCCTAGGACACGCATGCCACAGATTTCTGCAATTCTACAGACTTTCTCTTCTTTTGTCACTATGTAATACTGCTCTACTCCTTTGTTTCTTTCCGATATGGTCATATTGCCATACAAATCGTCTTCCAAACAAGACCAAGCACTGAGCGTTCTCTGCAACAATATTGTTGTGTTATGTTCAAAGCATGTCAATTTAGGAATCGGACGAACAATTTTGATAATCTAATCGTGAAATTTCGTTGCCAAAACGCTACAGAACACAGCTTTTTAAAAGACTGATATATTTGATTGGGTATCAAAATGTTGTCTGAACTTACTTATGACTCTTTGTGTACGATAATCTAAAAAGAATATCTATCGATATCGATGAAGTAATATGCTGTTAAGTGCTTGGTCTGTGAAGAGTGCTTGTTCTCTTATAAAAGCACTTCGGTTGATTGTTGTGTGAGGGTTCTTAAGTACTGTAGCAAACGAAACATGTGTAAACTAAACGTCGACAAACAATTGAAGAACCAAACGTTACACAAGACTCAATGAAACCACTTTTCTCCTGTTTTCAAAGTAAACAAATGCAAGCAAACTCGAATGGGGAACAGTTTATATATATCAGAATGACACAAATGTAGAACAAAGCACGTACCATACGGGTGTATCGGCAAGAGCTACTTTGAATTAAGGGTAGAAATCTGGCGACAAAAGCCTTAATTGTACCCAAGTAGAAGTTTGTAAATCTATCATAGGATGATAGCTCAGGAGAAGGGCTGTGGTTATCTAGTTTACCAGCCTTTAGTTGCAATGAACAGGTATATGTACGCACACACATATAAAGAGCTTGGCGCCTGCGGCTATGAAGGCAAAGTTTCCCCCCAGATATCAGAGATATAACACGTTTTCACCGCGTGTCCTGAAACGCGTTTCCCGTACGATATATAAGTCTTCTACCGTATATATAGAGGGAGTCAAACAAAACTAGACACATGTAATAAGCATAGCATCTCCCAATGGTACAGAGAGGTGTCTTGTTTAGCAAACACTTCAAAAGATGAGCGCCACAGGGCAGCTCGTATTATTAGTCGCAAATGTGTTCTTGATTCAGTACTGAAAGCTATTCTACCCTATTCTTGTACTATCTCGGTACATAAAGCACACAAAAACTCCCTACAGCGCCCTGTCGAACCCCAAAGTTGCCACCTTCTTGACTTGGCCTGGCGTGCTTTGTTAGTCCTTAACATGACGCCCTATCCGCGGCGTTAACCACGACATAACCAGCTTGTAAGTGAGCTCAATTGGTCGGGAATCGAACCCGGTATCGCGGTAATAGGCACGGACAAAAGGGCCGGGGTGACTCGGGAGCGAGTTGAGGTCGGGCCATGTCTCATTAGACTCAAGTGACTTCACCTGTATTGTTCGGCGGGGAATCGGCACATTTGTCTCCGCTGTTTGAAGTCTCTCGCTCCGGGGTTTGCCATGCTTGGGGGCAAGCGGCGTGCCTGCCTGCCTCCTTGTCTTCCCCTTAACCACTTTCACTTACACACACCGCAAGGCAACCTTAAGACTGTGAGGACTTTCTTATTTCTTGTCTTGTGTGAATCGGATACACCATTTTTACTTATCGTCTTCTCTAATTCTACACGCATTTTTGTCAATACCGTATTAGGTAGGGGAAACGACCAGAATTTACTACAGCTGAAAGATTGGGAAGCTATGAAGCACGGAATTCAAGAAATTTTAACAAAAACGAACGTTGAACATGTACATCTTTTTTTCTCGGTGCATACTGACGAAAGAAAACAAAATTAGTTCAGAATTACGTACACAAAACGGTACAAAATTTGTATGTAAGAAAAACATGAAAAAAGGATAATAAATTCATAACCAAATTTATAAATCTTGCAATGCAACGACCCCTACCACCCCCACCCCCCGTGAGTATTGTGGCAGCCCTGAACACACAAAGACAGCCACTAACTTCAAATCAAACTCGTAATAAAAAAAAGAGTAAATCCATATGATATGTACATGTTTTCTTGAAGCATAAGCCCCCAGCCATCCCCTGTATGTATGATCCATGTCTCCCATGCCATACCGCCTAAGCCTGCCCATACTTACATCTACAACCGATAACCGTCAAATTCAATAAAAGAAGACTTTTGGGGTCAACCATAGAGAGCGGAATAATCTCCCTCAGATAAGTTTATCCTCAACTGCGAGGAATTTCCTTTTTAGCAAAGATTGAATCAGGAACTCTTCAAGGTCGACCACGGAAAAGGTCGCCTGAATGCCGAACGTAGCCGCCACGTCAATTCATAACTGACATTTTAAAATCTATTTGCCTTTTAATATCATAGATTGCTTCCATTGTCGGGGCATTGGCTCGTCAATTTTGGCCCTGAGCGAGTTTTTGTAGATGGGGAGAGTTTGGGAATAAAGGGCAATCGATGTCACTACTGTGTTTTTTTTTTCTTGTGAAAAGAGGAATATTTTTTTTGTCTTGCGGTTGACAATGTATGGTTGGGACATAAATATGTATATGAAGATTAAGAGGAAAGATGTATGTAACGGTTTTTGATATGTAATGCAATTTTAGGGCGGAAAAACTGTCAATTTGCCGGTCGTTCTTTTAATGTAGTAAGCTGAATCAACACTACCCCGTAGCATACTAATATCTGTGAGGCAAGAATGCGATGTCACTGACAGGAAACGGCTGTTTGTTTTGTATCGTAGGCTGGTTCCAGCTATTTGTGGGTGGTACCCAAAAATTGTTTTGGGTCTATTTTCCGTGTATGAAATGACAACGAAAATGTCTTTAACAAAATTTCAGACTGGTGATGGTAATATAGTTTTAGGAATATACAGTTTTCAAAGAATGGCGTGAACAAAAATTACTCGTTTTTCATAGTTTTGGAAAGCAAGAAAAAAGAATATTTTCTTGAAATACTATGTTTTTATCACGAATCTAGAGCTGGATATGACTACCAAAGGAAGTATGTTGGATGTTTGATTCCACCAAAATGTCCTAAAATGTATACCTTGTAGAAACAGTACTAGTCCTTCCCTATTTAATTATACCGTTCAGAGAACAGCTACTAACGTTACAGAAGGTACGGCCATTCTCTTGTAAGATTTTATTTCTTGGTAGGATTTTTAGCGTGGCTATGGCAGAACAGAGCATCGACAACCATCTACGACAAACACAAGACAGCAGCGTAGTTTTGTACAACCTACCCACGACATCCACAGAATTCCTAAATTTCTTGTCGTAACCTATCTTACTGTGGTCTCCGATCCCTTGAACTCTTGAAAAGTGGCTAAGGCCAAAGAATGTACTCCGTACGTTTCAAAGTAAAGGCAATTTCAGGATGGCAAAAGAAATAATATTCTGGACGAGGAAATCTGTCTGATATTCACTGCAGTTTCCTAACATATCAACATTTCATACTTGAAGCATTTGAAATAGCCCCAAAACAAGCTATGTGAGGAGTCTCTTTATTTTTTAAGGTACCGCCCATAAATAGCTAAACCAACCGTAAGATACAAAACAAGCAACCGTTTTCCGTCAGTAACATCGCATTTTTGCCTCACAGATATCAGTATGCTATGGGATAGGATTGATTCAACCAATGGCATTATACAGTATAATGCGCTTGATTCAACGTACTACATTAAAAGAATGAACAGAAAATTGCATCAGATACCTTCAAATTGCATTGGATACCTTCAAATAACGGTTAAAAAGAAACGCGACAAATTTGGACAAATTTTTTCTTCTCTTCCTCCTCAGGAAAGGACGACTCTGAGATTTCTTCAAGTCGGGACAGCCCTCACCACCTGAAGCCGAAGAAGCCTCGCAAGGCGCGCACAGCCTTCACGGACCATCAGCTGGCCCAGCTTGAGCGCAGCTTCGAGAGACAGAAGTACCTGTCTGTACAGGACAGGATGGAGCTGGCCGCCTCTCTCAACCTCACCGACACACAGGTCAAGACGTGGTACCAGAACAGAAGGTAGAGGCGGTTTATATACTTCTTAAAGGCATTCGATGCAATTTTGTAGCGGCAAAACTGGATTTCCAAAGTGAAATTTCTTGTCATTCTTTTAATGTAGTAAGTTGAATCAATCCTATCCCATAGCAAACTGATATCTGTGAGGCAAAAATGGGATGTCGCTGACGGAAAACGGTTGCTTGTTTTGTATCGTAAGCTTGTTCTAGTTATTCATGGGTGGTACCTTAAAAAGGGACTCCTCACGTAGCTTGTTTGTGGGTTATACGCATGAATGAAGACGAAAATGTGTTAAGAAATAGCAGTACATGTCAATATCAGGCAGATTTCTTCATCAAGAATACTTTTGTTTTGTTTGGCGGCCACGAAATCGCATTAGATATCAATTACATTTTTTACATATTTTTATATTTACCTTCACAAAGAAGGTTATGTTTTCGGTAGCGTTTGTGTGCGTGTGTGTGTCTGCCTGCCAACATGATAACTAATGTTTTCAAAGGCTTAAAACATTCGGGTGTGGACCGGAGGTTCGGACATGGTTGGCTGGCGATTGGCTTTGTGTTCGGAAGTAGTTCGGCGCGCGGTAGGCAGTGAAATTTGACTCAAATTTAACTCAAATTTGATCAGATTCGGATAAGATGTTAGGCGTGGCCTGAATCTAGTCAGACTGTTCTCGAACGTCAGCCGAACATGGTTGGCTGGTGTTCGGGGGAAGGTTGTGGATGTGTGACAGGGGCTGTACATGGGTATATGGTTACAAACTCGCTGGTTATGTTTCCCATGCAGTCCTTGTCTCTCATTCCAGGCAAAAGGCGCTCAATGTACCGCTAATGACGCCGAAAATACCTCCCTTTGTCCCGCCTCCAACCAACTGTGCGCGTCGCTCTGAATAATTAATCGCTTGATGATATTGGAAATATAGATAATTGTTGCACCCTTTATCTTTAAAGTCACCAATTACATTAAATGTGGATGGCAACATTGGAGCGCAGACAGGTACCACAATCGCGAAGGAACTCTCCCCAAGCCTTCCGTGCAAAAAGAACTACCCCTGCCCTTTGATTCCTTTGTGTAAAGGAGCTGCAATTTCAAGCTAATTTCGTTAACGCAGTATTGTCCTTTTGGCGTCTATTGTACCAGATGATTTATAGAAAGATAAAGGTATTAAATATAGAAAATATCAGGAGATGAAATATCAGGAAATTGACAGTTGGTTTATTGCTATAATTAGATATGTATAATTCATAAAGCATCCTCCTATATAGGTTATGTTCCTGTGGAACAAAGCATGAAAACGCGATGTAATATTCAAAAACGTTGTAGGAAAATTTTAAATATTGATACCATAGAGACCCAATCATGGAATTGGTTAACAAATTATACACACCTGTCTTTTCCTACAGGTATAACGGGCTTTTTGCTCGTAAAATGTTTATCATGTGAATAAAATGTAACCCCAGACTTCAAAGCACCTCAACCCATACAAAGAAAGGTAATTTTATAGAAACGGTTCACAATAGATTTGTATGTTCAATCTTTGGAGATTAATTTTGATCATTTTATGTGCTCACGCGACGACATATTTCGTTTGCGAGCAGAGCGTTCAAACACGAAATATTAAACGCTGAAAAATGCGACGAATGTGAACCAGCTTCACGTACGCATATTCTAACAGTATTTGGAAAATATCGTATATCGGTTGTGCCATTCTTGTGCTATAGGAAAGGGTAGCACTGCAAGAAATCCGATATAATAAGACATGATATATTTATTGTGACATTGTGACGTTACAATTTCAATAAACAAAAATCCAATATTTCTTAAGCACATCTTAAAGCATGCGTAAATGTTACGTATTTCTAGTCATCTGAAAAACGTAGTCTTCACGCGTACTTAAAAGTATGTTTAGATACTAGATTGCATGCAGTGAAGACACGTTTTTGTGGTTGATCTGAGCGTCAAAACTCACCGCAGTGATACCACAGTGGGGCCGGATGTGTCAGAACATATTACCGGCCAGTTTGATCAGGAATATAGACCACTACACAGAAGAACGGAATCTACATGTAGCCGACGGCTACGTTAGTTGTGTGTCTCGCTGAAGATAGGAAATTTTAAACGCCATGCAATCTACATTCCCATTTTTTTAAGTCATCAAAATCTTTTGGAGAAAGTTGAGGCAAAATCCACCTACAAAAAATCGTCAACCTTGTGTCGTTTCTTGTGCCAGATACATCGCACTTTGGTAGGAGATAAACAAAAGGATATAGTCGTTAATTGCACCAAGTGGTACCCACGGTCGCACATTGGATCTTCTATGGCCCTGGATCTTCTCTGGTATACTATCCCTTTATTTCGGCCAATTTCTACTATTTTTCCAGCGATCCGCGGTGCCTGGTAGAGGCTACCTTCTTGCGTGCACACACTGTTTCAACGGACCTGTTTTTTTTATATCGTCGTTGAAGAATGTTATTATAGAGTTGGTTTTCCAGAAAAACTAGACACCAACACTTTGGATGCCTCGCGTAAAATGATATATTACATATAACATTACGTACTTTATAGAAACGCGCTGACTATGTTACTAGGGTACAGTGCTAGTAAATGCTTTCTATGTGACACCAAAACACCCATCCTCCTTATTACCTATTCTGGCGTTATTTTGGTGAAAACAAACGTTTGTGTAGTCTTTTCTGTGTGTCAAAGAGCATCGAAGGCTGAATTTGATATTTCGGCTATCTTGTATTGGTCCTATACCTTACCATCCCTTTATACAAATATGTATGCAGTAGGCGTAATATACGAGTAAATACGTGAAAACAGACGATGTATTAAAGGCATCCAATAAAAATTTCAAGGCATCAAAACTGTATTTTCAAAAGTCAATTTCTGGTCTGTCTTTTAATGTCGTAACAGTTGAATCAACCCTATCCCATAGCATACTGATATCTGTGAGGCAAAAATGCGATGTCGCTGACAGAAAACGGTTGCTTGTAGGCAAAAATGTAACTTTACTGACAGAAAACGGTTGCTTGTTTTCTATCGTAGGCTGGTTTTAACTATTCATGCGTGGCAGCCAACAAATAAAGAGACACATCACGTAGCTTATTTTGGTGCTATTGCAAACAATTTAAGTATGAAATGGTGACAAAAATGTGATAAGTAATAGCAGTAAATGTCAATATCAGACAGATTTCCTCATCCAGAATTTTTTTTTTTAATTTTCCACCCTGAAGTTGCATTGGATCCCTTTAACATGCTTGTCTCTCTATTTTCCACAGGACGAAGTGGAAGCGGCAGAACGCGCTGGGTCTGGAGCTGTTGGCGGCGGAAGGGAACTTCACGGCCGTACAGAGGATGTTCCCTCCCCCGTTCTACTACCACCCGAGCCAGGGCATCGTCTCCAACATGGACGCCATGTACCTGCACCGGTCCCCGTCCGTCGCCTCGCTACAGAGACCGGTCCTGCCTCGGTTCTTCCTGCACGGACTACAACAGCACGTCTCGCACCTCCCACCGAACTGCCACGTCTGAACCTACGGGGGAAAGGCGCGTCCCCCACCGAAGACTTTCCCACATCCATCCGATAAATGTTAAAACTACGTGACCGAACACTGCAAGCGGCAACTTTGCCGTACGACCGCGGGTGAAGATACGGGGAGAGACGTCCTCGCCCCCGAGAACTTCTGAGACTCTGTCCGAGGTACTGAATAAAAAATCCACGAAGATTGTATCAAGTTTTATACAAGAAACAAACGGTATGTTTCAACACCTCTTGAACCACTGAAGGAAGAAAAAAGAGAAAGCAAGAATTGTACAGGGACGTTGCAAATGTAAATAATCATGCAAAAGAGGGCTTCTTTGTTGACAAATATATATTTACCTTACCGCACACGAATGTTTACATGAAACGTTGGCAACACTTCTAAAACATTGCTATCTATGCCGCACTTTCAAACAAAATACTCATCTATTCAACTGATTATGCAACATGGAAGAAACTGTCCATTGCGTATTTTCATACCTATGTAGTAAATGTACAACATTGGTTGCTTTTTTCAGGAATTTTGTCGACCATTTTTCAAATAATTTTTTTCAGTATTGTTTTTCTTTGACATAATTTTCACTGGTTACCAAAATGTATGAACAAATCGGAGAAATTTTATTATATCCCTGTCATTTTCATGATATCATATTGATAAAGATTATGCGGAGTATATTATTTCTAAGATACGCTACTATTTCATAACATAAAAAGATCTGCTCTGTATATCAAGAATGTGTCAAGAAATTGCCAGCGTATATAGATATGATGATGATATGTATATAATCGTCATGATTCTGTTGCACAAATACTTTGTTATTACAAGCGACACTTCGAGGTCATATTAATTTATTTTTTATTACGTTTTCCCAGAAGACGTGTAAATATAAGGTATGAAATTGGACTTTTGTTGTCTTTGTTTCTAAGTATATTCCGTATGTATAGTATATACTAGTACATGTGAGTAGCCTTGAAATACAGGCTTATGTAAGGGCGTAAACGTGTGTATATGTTCATACAGATCGGCTAACTATTCACTGTTTTTGCAATCCCAAAGGTCTGGGGTTTGAGGCTAAAATACTGATTCGCCGATACAAAAAAAGGGATAACTGACTAATGACGTCATCTACTTGTAGTCTCTATCAGGCTTTTTTAGTGGTTACAAAATAACAAATATTAACAGACAGGAAAGGGAACCAAGTTTTGTCTCTCTAGTTAGCTAACTGTGAAAATTTAGTAAATTTTCACTAGTCTGAAGTATAAACTAATAAATTTGGGACTGCACATTTGTCATAGTGTATGCGTAACCACCGCAAGTATAAGGTTAAACTTTGTGGCAAATCGTTCTAAAATGTGTCCACAATCCTATAGCTACAATTTGTCGCTAATGCTTTGATTCCACACAAATAACCATCATTCACTCATCATATATTACACACAACCTCATCCACAATTACTCAAATACGATTCACAAAGAAGAGGAGAATACCATGATAAATTGTCGTGTCAACTACTAGTTCCAACAGAAAACTATAACAAATTCTAAATACTTCCCAAACTATAGCTGCATGCGAAAATCGTGTTGATTCTCTCTAATAACAGTCATTTCCCAACACAATAAGAACTTTTAGCAAGTCTTCACAATTGTAACAGAATGGTAGAGACGTTCTGTAATACACTTATGTCTTACTAGTACCCTTCCCGGCTTTCTGTGGGCACATTTTGACAGAGATTATTATAGCCTCTAAAAGTGTGACATAAATCGTCCGAAATGTCGGTAATAGATGTCATTCATGCCGGCGGTAATACGTGTGTTTAGTGAGGGTTTGTCGGAAGGAACACTGCGGACAGAAGGGGTGGTGTAAGTACGGGGTCTGCCGGGTTGTATAGCGGGTATTTTCCGCGGCACAACCGATCATTACGACATTTTCGTGCGCTGACGGCAGGGCCCATCTGCGGCCGGGGATGACAGGGGGTGTGCGGTCAGGTCTGGTAGGGTATAATTATCTCCTAGTCATGACAGGCGGGCACCCTTTTAGATTATGTTACAATAGCGCCTGGCGACCAATCACCTGTTTAACTCCTGTTGGATAACGTTACTGTACGTTCTGCTAGGCTGGAGGGAAAATGTCGTGAGACAGTCGCAAGCCCGTCGTAAGATCGCTGGATGAAAATTACACAAACGCAATGGCATGGCTTTGATGTTGTTAGTAATGAAAACAGACACAGTGAGTCAGTGTGGTGTAAGAGGACGGATTCCTAATGACATTTTAACGATCTATTCCGCAAAAAAAGGGCGTAGCTTGGAGAGAGCGTGTTTCGTTCTGCCGCCGTACTTGCCTCTCCAAGGCCGAGGAGCAGCTGTCATCCTCCCGATAGACAGAGACAAAATAATCTGTAATCATAGACAGATGAAGGGGAACTCATGACACAGCTTCGGTGGGAGGTGGCCTGTTCCCGTGAGGACGGTAGAAGCGTGCCGGGTCGTTCGGCTTGCCTGGTCGGGCGGAAAGGCTGTGGCGCGCCGAGGACGGGTGCGGCGGCGTCCCGGGGTGGTGTCGAGCACAAATTGGCCTTTAATTGATTTAAGTGGCTTGCAAACAAACAAGCGGGGGTAATCCGTTCCGCTACCGTGTACCCAGCGGGCTCCCCGGGCGCTAGTAGCGGGGCCGATATGGTACAAGCGGGGCGCCCTTTTTGTCCGAGACAACCTGCCGCAACTTGAGGCAGCAAAAACGCCACGGCTGTCACTACGTGATCTTTTGTGGCCACGCACTGACTCGGCTTGACAAAAACCAGCCGCGATGGCCCCGCTAAATACGATTTCCACCCGCTCCGCTTCACACGCCATCTGTGCCGGCTACACCTCTCTCTATCCCCGCTCACAATCCCCCAAAACCCGCCTACAAATTTCCTAAATAACTCCCAACAAAACGGCGGAAACGGCTTGAGTCAACAAGCGGCTTTGTGACTCAAGTGCAAAGGACCGGTTTACAACGGTTAATGTACTTTTAGTTAACTCACATAATCACTAAATTAGAGCCCTGGTGCCGACTCGAACACAGACTAGTTTTACACGTCAGGAGAGGGGAACACTACCTCACCAGGAAGTCATGTAATACTGTCTGCTGCTACGTACCAACCAGACCACTTTTAATACAGGAGTCACAGACGTTAAACTGTAATTGTTGTTCCCTATGCCAAGATACGTTTTGTATGTATGGTGTGTGCGTGTGTATGTTTGCTCTGTGTGTGTGTGTGTGTGTGTGTGTGTGTGTGTGTGTGTGTGTGTGTGTGTGTGTGTGTGTGTGTGTGTGTGTGTGTGTGTGTGTGTGTGTGTGTGTGTGTGTGTGTGTGTGTGTGTGTGTGTGTGTGTGTGTGTGTGTGTGTGTGTGTCTGTGTGTGCGTCTCTGTGTGTCTGTGCGTCTGTGTGTTTCTTTGTAATTTAGCACGATAGCTCAAGAAGTTTGGGATGGATAGTCACGAAACTTGGTAGAAAGGTAGGTCTTGATGAGACCTCGAAAAGAGTAGATTTTGGGCCGTCTGGCGGTTTGTTTAAACATAAACTTCAGTATAGGATAACTTCTATCCTGTTTGAATCACGCAATGAGCATCATCAATTGAGAATGAAGATCTTAATTGCAACTCTGTACGCTAACAGGCTAACTACAGATGTACAAATGTGAACTGTTACATTATATTACATAAATATACATAAAACGTTAACGCCATCATACTAATTTGAAGCAAGGTTTGACATCTAATCACAGGTAAGTATGATAATAATATAAATCGTAAACGTATACCCAGAAAAGTACAATATTTTTGCGTTCCTTTTTTTGTCTTAATGTATGGCATACTGATATCTGTGAGACAAAAAAGCGATGTCGTTGACAAAAAACTTTCTTGTTTTGTATCCTAGGCTGGTTCATGTAGCTTGTTTTGGGGCTATTTCAAACCCTTAAAGTATGAAATGATGACCAAGATATACTATATAAGAGATGATAGTAATGTCAATATCATAATATATAAGAGATGATAGTAATGTCAATATCAGACAGATTTCCTCTTCAAAAATATTTTTTGTTTTATCCGGTAACATGAAATTGCATTGGATGCCTTTTGACAGAAACGCTAATTTTGAATTGTGTTAGTCTGATAGAGATAGTAAAGAACATGTATGTCAACTGAACTACGCGGAGTGCAGGGAAACGGTTTTCCATTCAACTGGGAGACATTAGTTGTTTTGCTTTCCGGTAAAATCGGTAGCCATGTCATTTTGTAGTGGTCACTTCCGGTTGGTTATTATTTTAGAACAAATTTGGTACGCACGGAAGGTCCTTATTGGCTGGCATAAACGGAAAGATAAAAATAGTCTCCGTATTCAGGCTTGCTCGGACGTAGTTATCGACAGTTGTTATTTTTCCGTTACGTTTCGCTGCTTTCCGCGCATAATCTTCGAGTCAGGTTTGTACCATTTGCAGGCATTACAGCGATACAAAAATGTATTGTATCTAATGTCCAGATTATTGTATTTTTCGTGATCCTCAGAGAGAAAATTTTGTTAACAGCCATTAAAAAATATAACTGTGTGCGGTTTTTAGTTTTTTTTATTCTTCCTTCATAAAACGTACCCTGGGTGCCAGACGCCGCGCGGAACGATACTCCCTTCGGCCGGGGGAAGCCACACGCCCAGGGTTAGTCTGACCCGGGGTCTAATTTATCTATTTACGTTTCTCGAATCAAGTACAACAGATTTCAAGAGTCTCGATGTTGTAGACAGATTTGAATACATCTTCACATGTAATGGTTCCCACAACGCAAAAATAGGTAGATATATAAAGGAATTCTTTGTTACTAGAAAAAATACCGAAACTTGTGATTAGCCCACTCGATTGTAACACTTTATCAAAGACTTGTGCTAGCCCTTACTGTTTGAATAATTAATATATGTTAGGTTTTATTCGACATTAGGTCTTATCCAACATCTATTTTATTGTTTGTTACTCTATCTCTTTATGTAGTTTGCCATACATTGTACCTTGTGCAATTGTCGTGCAATAAAGTTCTATATAATCTATCTCTCGCGCCGGGATAGAGAATTCAACGAAGGCTGCCAACTCCGGGAGCGGGGCTACGGTGTTGGGCATGGAAAGAGAACCGGTTTCGATTCTTAAGATTAGCGCCAGGGTCTGGCACCCAGGCTACATGTAACGTTTATAGATCTTCGTTCTAGCATGACCCATTTCATAATTCATGTAAAAAGGCGCAGACACGAAAAAAGAAAACGATGACGACCAAAGACATATATATACATACAGAAGCTGAGCTACTAGATACTTCGGCCACTCTCGGAGCCTGTTATGGCGCCTGTAGTCTCTACCAGCAGACTCCTTTGCAGGCTAATTCATGATACATGTAGTAGACATCGGTCTAAAAAGGAATGTAACCGGCCTGGGAAGTTAGCCGGCCACAGGGGTCAATGCAGGCAAACTGGACCCTCTGGTCAGCCAACTCCCCTGGCCAACTACATTCCTTTGTAGGCCGATTTCTTCTATTGATTCAGCTTGCAAAGGAGTCTGTTCTCGAGGCTATTCGTTCCACGGTGACGGATGGGAGAGAAAGGAGCAGAGGGTGTGCAGCCGAAGCCCGTCAGGCGGGGCGCGGGGCT